AATAAATATATAAAGTATTACACTTACTTACCTACGAAACTTAATCAGCCTGATCTTTCTACAGTTCAATAGCATGGTAATATTTAAAGATAGTAATTGTTCAGAGCTATTATTTTATCAGGGAACTTGTTAGGAGCCGACAAATAAAATACATACATAAAACAATAACAATATATTAAACACAAAATTATGATGCTGCTAAATGCAACACCGGTAATAAAAATACACAACTATGAAATGGTGTTATATATGTATAAAATTAAGCAATAATGTAATAAAAAAATACCTTTACCAAGATATATAAGGCAATCATATACAAATATAGTTTGGCGTATCTCGAGATATCATAGGAAAGATAATGAACAAAAATTATAGGAAATACAAAAGATAGCAAAAATTACTTAACTCTAAATTTACAAAAAAAAAAACAAAAAGGTTACAGGAATGAAAACATAAACCAAACCGCACTTGGTTAAGTCAATTAACCATCTCGCACTATTATTTAATAAAAAACTGAGACTTGTATGTTCATAGGTAATATTTATAGAAATTTCTTGAATGGTTCAATTACATTCAAAAATCGGCAATCTACAGGTGAAGATATAGATGATACGTCCAGATAATGGCAGGTGATATGATACCATACCATATTACTCGCCCAGATAATTGTAGATAAAGATTACTTACAGTAGATCTTGACGAAGGCAGCTTAATTCACTGAATTTAATACTTTTCTGGTACTAAACACTGAATTTAATAACCATTAAAGGTAGTGTAGAACTATATATAATTTAATATAGTCTAAGGAAAAAAACTCAAATATGAAGTGTACACACACTTAGAAAATAATTCACAGCGACGATAAGATAATAAATATCGTGAGCAAAGCGCATCACGAGATATCACTTCACTCAACAAGAGCCCACCGAGAAGTAACTTGGTTCCCTAAAAATTTCACCAACTATCCAAGAAAAAAGAAGAAGAAGGTATATCCCCCACTTAAAATCATCGGACAGTCGTATATATTTCTCAGAAGCTAAGGCTTTAACGACTATTGGAAAGTTTGAGGTAAAATAATCGGTATTAACAATTGGACCTGAGAATATTAAAATCCTTAGGATTATATTATTGTCAAAAGAAACGGGCCTTCGCGAAAATTACCAATTTATGAAAAAGAAACTGCCTACCGGAAAGCATTTGTTTTTTTCATACAGAGTATTAAGACGGAAGGATTAAAAACCTTTCTTAATTAGGGAATTCCATTTCAGCTTGGTGTCTACAATAATATTTTCCTATCGTAAACACGGGGATTCCTAATCATCGGCGTATCGCACAGGGGTAAAAGGAAATAAAAATAATTTGATATATTAATAATAAAAAAATGTTACAACAGAATAACATAGAACAGCAATAGTAGCCACCTTACTCGCCATACATGACATCACCTTTTTTTAAATGCTATTTTCTCGAAATGAAATTGGAGATTGATTTGAGTTTTTACCAAACCTCTCCAACTACTACAACTACTAATACCAAACGCTCACCAAACCAATGATTTATTTGTTGTTATTTCCCTTGAGCATCCCCTTGATTTTTAAATACGTTAATAGGATATTTATTTCAATAAGTGTAATTCGAGAAGTAAGTCTGTTAAGAATTATAAAAGTTACAAACTATTTGCATTATGGAAAACTACGATCTTAATATACAAGGTGGTCCAGAATTATGTACATTAATTTCTAGAGCTCATAGTATGTCGAAAAATAAGGGTACTTCTTTATGTACACTTTTTTATAAAACTGAATAATAAGGGAGATACAACCCTTTAAAGGGGTGAATTGAAATTCTTATTTTTTCAAATATCTTCCAAACGGTTTTGAATACGGAGTTCATATTTTGGGAGTGATTATAAGACATTAGGATAGTTAATTTCATGTCATCACATACCACATCCTATATTAATACAGGGTAGTTTTAGAGGGTAAGTGGGGGTTATTGCGTCACATGTTTTTTAATTTTTACATATTTTAAAAAAATATTTTAAAAATTGTTTCCTTAGACTTTTCTACGCAAAAAAGGTGGTCTTGTAATATTTCGATAGATATCACCGTTTTCAATTTATTTAAACTCGAAGGTATACATGTATTTTATTGTAATCCTTATATTTCTTAATCAAGTATGCTTTGGAATTGACACTTGTGTTAGCAATAATATTACAAATTAATGGAAAACTTAATTAATACTTAACATTTAATTAATGGCGAAAATAATATTTCACAACAACTGTTCAAAATGTCCTCCATTTTGTTGAATACATAATCTAATTCTTTTATTTAGCGAACGCATTAATTAATTTAATGTTACTGGATCGTTTTGTAAATCGGTAAATACTTGTTCAATTTTGTCTCTTAACTCATTTACTGTATTAATTGGATTGTTATACACTTTTGATTTCAAATAACTCCATACTGTAAAGTCCATTGGATTAAGATCACAACTACGAGCAGGCCAATGAATCGGTGCATCCGCACCCCGGCTTATCCACCTATCAGGGAAATGTTCATGTCCCCACCTTCTACAAATTCTTGTGTAATGTGGTGTAGCACCATCACATGCATAAAAAACATGTTTCTTCGTATTTGTAATGGAATATCTTTCAAAATATCATGTAAAATACTGTCTAGAAAATTGTAATACATGTTACCATTTAAATTTCCGGGAAAGATGTGGTATCCTATGAAACTATTTCCTAAAATAGCTGCCCAAACGTTTATCTTGAACGTGTGTTGGAAGTGAGTTTTCATTGTAGCCCTTGAATTTTCTTCAGCCCAGAAGTGCATATTTCTAGAATTGAACATACCTTGTCTTGTAAATGTGGCCTCGTCTGTAAACAGAATGTTGCTTAAAAAATTTGGTGCAGTTTGAACTTTATTTTGCAATACTTCACAAAAATCAACTCTAAGTGGCATATCGTCAGGTAACAATTCCTGCACCTGTCGATAGTGGTAAAGATGTAATTGCTCTTCATGCAGAACTCTTAAAACACTTTGATGGGAAATATTCGTTCTTAATCCTAACCTGCGTGTACTTATTGTGGGGTCATTTATTACAGCATCCAATATTTGCTGTTCAACGCGAACATTTCTTGCTTCTCCACGACGACCAGCATCTGTATTCCTTCTTTGAAGACAACCGGTTTCTCTCAGTCGTCGTTCAGTACTTACAAAAGTCCTGCCATTGGGAATATTTCTGTTCGGATACTTTTCTCTGTAGCGTCTTACAGCGGCAGCAGCATTTCCCGAACATTCCTCTAATACTAAAAGTATGTCTGTCATCTCAGAATTTGAATAGTATGCCATATTGCGGGCAAACAAATTTAAAAATATAGCAAAAGAGACGTGTTAAACAAATTTCACTGTCGAGTACAATAAAAGTGTAGATAAAATAATTTCATTGTTATTAAACGTCACTGACAATTCATAGACTACTTGAGATTAAAGTGTTGTTGCTAACACAAGTGTCAATTCCAAAGCATACTTGATGAATATTAAGAAACGTAACGATTACAATAAAATACATGTATACCTTCGAGTTTACATAAATCGAAAACGGTGATATCTATCGAAATATTACAAGAGCACCTTTTTTGCGTAGAAAAGTCTAAGGAAACAATTTTTAAAATATTTTTTTAAAATATGTAAAAATTAAAAAACATGTGACGCAATACCCTCCAAAACTACCCTGTATTAATATAGGATGTGGTAGGTGGTGACAAGAAATTAATTATCCTAATGTCTTATAATCACTCCCAAAATATGAACTCCGTATTCAAAACCGTTTGGAAGATATTTGAAAAAATAAGAATTTCAATTCACCCCTTTAAAGGGTTGTATATCCCTTATTATTCAGTTTTATAAAAAAGTGTACATAAAGAAGTACCCTTATTTTTCGACGTACTATGAGCTCTAGAAATTAATGTACGTAATTCTGGACCACCTTGTATAAAATATAATTGTAAATATTAGTCTATAGTTATAAAAATTATATTGGTTTGTGATAATTATGTCATATTTATTTAGTCGATGACATTTTTCACAATCTGTGCGACGAACATACATATTTAATTCCAAATATTACTTTCTCTAACACTATGTTTAAAAATAGGTATAAATATTTTACTTTTGGCAGAGTGTACTCCACGTGTCTGTTCTCGAATTTTATTACGTTTGTCTCAAAATCAGCATTTGTTGGAACAAATTTATAAAAGCATCAAAAAATATATATTTAGTTTTAAAGATTTGTTTTAATGAAGTAAAACTAACCTTTCCTGTTAGGGCTCACTCTTTTATGCCAAATGACAGACAGAGAAAATTAGAGCAAGAAGAACGATATTATACTATTAATGAGGCTGACGAGCTTATAATGAAATCATCAAAAATTGACGGCAAATTTTATGTTAATAAAATGACTGCTGATGATTTCATCGACTTCAGTTCATGGTGACCCCAGTTTTATACAAAAAAAAACCTGCTCAAGTGATGATTCGTATGGCAAAATTGTCCCAAGAAACCAAAAAAAGCTTTTGTCATATCACAATAACAGAGAAATGACTTTTTCATCAAAGAATCCTAACACGGTTCAATGTAAGATAAACATTGGCAGCTTCCTAATGGATGAATTCAAACTACTGAATGCAGTACAGCCAATTCAGGCTCATACTAAAGAGCATATTCAACTGTACTTGAAATTAACAACAAGAAAATGGAAGACATGAAGAAAACATTGGTTACATCCCGGAAGAAAAAATGAATTTTTGGAATCCGATTTTGTCATGGCCAATTAGACCGGCATTCACAGAAGAAAACTAAAAACTTGGTTCCTTACCCCGTAGTAAACACACATCAGCCACTAATCTGAATCGTCGTTCGAAAATGTATTTATTTGCTTTTACTACTCCATACCAAATAAACTATTCCTAGAAGGTAGAATAGATACGTTACCTGTTTTCTTTATACATATGTGAGTTGATTGCTTTTGCCATTAAAATTGTAACCATTGGTCGCAGAGCTTTTCCATGTCCATCGAAGTAATATGTTGCTATTTCATATAAATTATCCTGGAATGTGTTTCTCCTTAGCGCCTGGAAAAAGAACAAAAAACCTTACCAAATATAAAATAGTAAAAATTAAGAAAATTTAATCAGGAAGATAATATATATTCTATATAAGCAAAGATCTTCCCAATAGCAAAGAATCTATAAATTAAAAATTATAAATGTATTTTTATTATTTTAGATTTTTTTAATAACTATATTTCTTGGTATTTGCATTTATAATTGTTTAATAATGTAATATTATTATTCAAAATTTCTTAAAGACGTCACCAATTATATCGTTAAGAACCACTCGAAAGAGATGCTTGAACAAAAGTAGCCTATGGATGAATGAACCTAAAAGTAACAGCAAAATCAATAGCCATTACTACTTTATTATTAAGTCAAATAATAATATAATAGAATAGAATAGAAATATGCTTTATTGTCACTAAAAATTATACAATTTTATGGACAAAGCCTACAAAAAGTGAAAAAAATATCAAGAACAATTAAAATTTACTTAAATTACATAAATCGTCAATATCACAAAATGAAGGATATTAAAATAAACAATCCATTGCAGAATGTAAAAAAAACTGCAAATTGCATAATAAAACCTTACGAACTAATAAATTTAAGTTGCTGCATGTGACATCCAAATATATATAAAAATACTTTAGTTACTTACGAGCCACCTTTACATTTAAGATGTCTATTTTTGGCAGAAAAATTTATTCTTAAATGCCAGTTTAATAATCAAAACAGCTTATTATAAAAAATATCTTGTCTCTCTGTTAAAAATCTAACAAACAAATGGTGGGCAAATAAAAACTCTCCAACTCTAGCTGTCGCTTTTCCCAATTTATCACAATATTCATTCAATGGAGGAGGGATTCCATTATTTGGCTCCAATTATGACTTACTATATAAATATAAACCTACTGTAGTAATTCCTTCATATATTTCAGCTGTTCGCGAAGATTTAGTAGTACAAAACAAGCTGGAAGACTCTAACCATTCTTGTAAAATTTATACCGATGGTTCCAAATCGCCTGCTGGTATTGGCTGTGCCATTTACATAGACAATATTCAAGATTACTTTCAGTACAAATTAAAATCAGATTGTTCAATATTCACAGCTAAATTGGTAGCCATTGTCAAGGCGTTGGAATGGATAATCAATAGCACATTATATTTCGAACAATATATAATTCTATCTGACTCACAGTCCGTCCTGCTCGCATTAAGACACTTCTCTAAACACATATAAACCAACAGACTAATTGTAGATGCGCTTGAAAAGCTAAGGCTCTTAACTTCTCTAAAAAGAATTGTTAACTTTGTGTGGGTTAAAGGTCACTCTAATATTCCAGGCAATGAAAAAGTAGACCATTTGGCTAAAGACGATACTTTAGTGGGTATAGACAAGTTGCCCAAATGGGATATAGTTTCAGCTAGGAAGAAACATGTTAGACTTAATTGGGAAATTGAGTGGCAATCCTTTACTAAACGTAGCAAAAATACATACTGCAGTATATATCCAACTCTTCCATCTACTCCTCCAAGTGACAGAAGTCCCATCTCTCGGAAAATTTATACTATGTACGTTAGATGCCTTTTTGGTCATGCTACAGTAAATGCTTACCTATATAAAATAAAACTTTCCGAAACTGATATATGTAAATTTAGTGGAAGATATGACGACCTTAACCACTGGATGTTTCAATGTCGGTATAATCAAGAAGCCACAAAATTTTTATTTTAAGCCATCTCCCAACAAAAAATCATTCTGCCGCAGAATGTTGCTTCTATTCTCTATTTAGGTAGTCGAAATTCAACTATTACATCAATTTTATGGGAATTTTTCAAACGTACCAAACGAAAAATCTAAACTACCATTTTCAGTGTTGTATGAATCCGAAATGGTAGGACGTTAGTTGTTGTGTTTCCCATTGTCTTTCCTTTTATGGCATTTACCTTTAACCGTTACCTGTATTGTTTGTGTTAAAAAAAAGTCGCTATGAAGGGCACCTTAACGTGAAGCGTGTGTTCCTGTTCAATCCTTTTTGTATAGTTACCCAATAGTGTTTTCAATGGAAAGGTTAGGAAATTAAGTGAATGTGCGAATGAACGAACGGTTAGGAAATTGTCATGAATTTAAAGGAAGTGTAGGAGATTGTTTTTACGTATTCAACCTATATTGTCTGGCTAAATAGGTCTTGAGCCTAAGGCAAAAAAAATACTTTAGTTACTTGTATGTAGAAAGGTACTGTAATTTCTTAGGTATTCGTTAATTCTTAGGTTAATTATTCAGTATTCGTATTCATACTGAATGGTATGGTCATTTAGATAGATGTTTTTGTCAATTTATGGAACTTAACGAAAGATTGTAGATTTAAGTTGCATAGAGAGATGGTTGTACAATTTTTCTCGCAAATATAATATAGATTTCTTTCATGATTAGGTCTTGCTGGAAAAACATGTAGGTGTTTACGAATCAAGCAAACAGTTTCTAGAATATATAGAGAGGGAAGAATTAAAATATCGTGATATTTTAAGTAGCTTTTGCAATGTGTTATTCTACTGAGGCCAAAAAGATACCGTATTGCTCTTTTTTGTAATTTAAATATAACATTAGATTGAGCAGCTGTACTAGAGCTCCAAAGGAAGGCCATATCGAAGATGAGACTCGAACAATGAAAAGTATGTTATTTTGGAAGATGCTTAACTCATTTCCTTCGAAGCAGATCTTATTACATAGCTGGCTATCTACGTTCGGGCAGTGATCATTGCCATATCAAAATTTGCAACACTAACACTCGTCTATGAGATACTATTTTTTTCCTTCTTCTTTTCTCTATTCATGTGCATATTTTACGAAGATTTATAACCAATACTCTTAAAATATATAATTCTATAGTTTCTTCTTCAAAATAAATGGCTGCATGCCTGGCTTGTATTTTTGAAAACACTCTCTTAGTTAAACCATTACCATTAGAAGATATAAAATTCAGGAACAGCAAGCTAGTCAAAGAGTATACTATCTTGTCTCTAGAACAGTTTACCAAAACTTTTATATCTAAAGCTCCCACTATTATTAAAATGAATAACTCCTTACGGGATATGAATGACAAAAGCAGGACCCCACAATATTTCTGTTGTGTTCTTAAATTATCTCCCAATTCCGGCTGAGTAAATCTTCTTAAAATATTTGATTAAATTTGGGAACAGCGACAAATTTCGTTTATATGGGCAAAAGCTAAAAATAAGGTTAGCGATTGACACCATCTTTGACATACAAAGCGACGTTCACAAAGTCAACAACATTTACTCAGATTTCCACACTGAAGAAAATGGTACATCAGAAGGCTCAGTACTAAATCATATCTTATTCCTAATTGCCACAAACGACACAGACAACTCTACCTTGCAAGTCCAGCTCGCGAAACTGTTTTTCTATTTTACTAATTTTTCCTTAAGACATTTGAAAAAAAAAATTAATCAAATAACGAGCAACTTCCATTTCTTCCTGTGTTATTTCCGTAACTAATCATCTATAGCATTACTATTTTGTACATTTCTGTTAAATAAACAATAATATTAATGAAAGTTTAAACGACAATAACACTTACAACTATTACGCTCGACACTAAGAACGACTATCATGCTGTCAGGCAAAAATTTACTAAAGAGAGATGTCTTAAACTCTATCTAATTAGCCTTCTTCCTTAGCCAATTTTGTTCCATCGGTCTTCTTTTTGTCTTATATTGTGTCCGGCAAATCTCCATTTCAATTTTGCAACTTCTTGTCTAACATCATCATCATCATCACGTAGCGCTACAACCCTGGGTAGGTCTTGGCTGACTGTACAACTTTTTTCCACTTTGTTCGGTCTTCCATCAACCTAGGGTCAAACGGAATGTTCATTTTCCGGAGATCTACTTGGATGTTATCACAAGTCTAACATCCCTCACTTTTGTTTTCTCTCTTATCTACTCGTTTCTCTTTTTATCCATAAGTTTTATGCTCAATATTTATCTTTCCATTTCTCTTTGGGTTTTTATGATTTTGTCCATGTTTGCCTTTGTAAATGTCCACGTTTGGAAACCATAAGTGAGAACAGGCAGTACGCAGTGATTGTATACTTTGGTCTTAAGATGCTGCGGATATCTTTTGTTTTTAGGAATGTAGCTTAGTTTGCCAAATGCCGCCCATGCCAGTCTAACTCGTCTTTTTATCTCTGCTGTTTGGTTTTCTTTGTTAAGTTTTATAGTTTGACCCAAATGTATACAATCCTAAACTTGTTCTATTTCATCTTGTCGGATTCTCATTGTGATGTCTTCATCTGTATTTGTTATGATTTTGGTCTTGCTCTAATTTATATTAGCGCTTTCTTTCCAGCTTCTACGTCGAGTTTTTTTCATCACTTCAAACAATTCTTCTTTTTTATCGGTTATCAAGACGATGTCGTCAGCGTACCTTACATGGTTCAAGCGTTGTCCACAAATTTTTAAACCTTTTTCTTCCCAGTCTAATCTTTTAAAAATATCTTGATCCAGAGCCTGATTGAAAAATGTCGGTGATATTTTGTTTTTTTTTTATTTTATATCAGGAACGCAGAAATCATTTTGGTCTACTTTCTCATTCATCATCAACATAAGTGGCTCGACAATCCATTATAGATCCTGGCCTGCTCACAAATAAGTCGTAACTCCTGTCGATTCCTGGCAACTTCCCTCCATCTTCTGACCCTTAGAATATATTGGTCTTCTTCCACATCATCAATCCATACTTTCTCCATGCTTCTACTTTCTCATTATCTATGCCTAAATGAAAAATAAGAGTATGTTGCAATGAATTTCTTTAATCAAATTAATAATTAACTTTTTTTAATGTTACTTTTTGTATCTAAAAATACATTTTCTTAAAAGTTGTTATCGTTAACTATTCATGATATATAAAGTTACAGTTAAAGTTGAGTTAAAATTAATTTTTATATATAAAGTTTTTTTGCTGAAAAAAAGCAGAACTAAAAATACGAATC